GAATAGTGCTTGCTAGGTCAACCACCTTTAATATAATCTGCTTTGTTTATATTGTAGATTAGTAATGAAGACTTCTTACCAACTACATATTTACACGATGTTGGGAGGGTAAACAGAACGCACTTTTTAAAGGAAGCATTCTGATTATTTTAAATTGTGGAAATAGTAGGGGAAAATATGGGTGTGTGAGAGAGAAAAGTATTTGATATGAAGGTAATCATACAAAAATATCCTATATAATAAAAGCCTAATATGCAAATTGTCCCCTCGACCAGGAGTTTGACCGGGAGTTCGACCGCTTGCTATGACATGTGCTGACCACCAGGGGGCAGTGTAGAACATGGCGGGCGTCAGCGACAAAGTGCTGGCAACAGGCGGTAGTGGAGACAAGGCCGGCCCCAATGGGCTTCCGGGTGAATCTTCTGGGCCGCAGCCGCCACCGCAGGGGCCGGTCAGGTTCCCTGTGGGTTCGCACAAGAGCTGGTCTGCAAGACTGGCTGGGAGAGAGCACACTGCCGGCCCAGCTTCCGTGCAGTGCCACTGGGCGGCCCAGCGGCTCGCGCTGCTTCCTGGCCCACAGCTTCTAGCTGTGCTCACCTCATCTCCTCGTGGGGACTTGGGAGCTATGACTCAGGCAGAGGAGGACACGTAGGGGCTCAGGGGCCCAGGTGCTGCCCAGGGCCCAGAGGTCAGCTGGGACCTGCCCTTCCACGCCAGACGCTTGCACTTCGATCGCCGGCCAGGCCTAGGGACCGCACCCGTGCAGGAATTTCAAGCACCGGGCCTCTAGTATTTTAATAATATATAACATCTGCCATTTCTTTTTGTAAGCCTTTTGCCAGCATATATACAGGCAGCCGATGAACCAACATAAATTGATTAATATGTCCTCCAAATTTATGTCAGTGGAGTTCCCAAATGATAACTCTGTTGATCCCTAAGGAATCCTTCAGATACCTCTAGATTCAAATACACTGTTACTGATAAATGATTAACTCTTCAGAGGTAAAAAGTAACAGAGTCACGATGTCCTTTGTTTTCTGACTGAAAATCTGGAAAATGTCTATTTCCATTTTCACTCACTGCCAGCACTGTTTGATCTAATAAGACTTCCCCGTCAAACGTGTAGGAGAAAACACACAAACACGCACATGCCTGCAAATATATGAGGAGCAACACTGAAGCCTCTCGGTGCTACTTGTGACCCTTTAAGACAGCCATTCAAATAATCAAATTTCGTGCAGGTCAATGAAAAATCCATTTCTTTCACCCCAATCACCACACAAGTGGTCATTTGTTTCATGAGCGTTTTCGTTGTCTGAAACACCACTTTATTTAAACTCTGCCTACAGAGTCAGGAAATGAACATTTGTCCCTAGGTAGCTCTCTATCTTATGTCAGGACAGAAGAAAAATACAGGAAATCAGTGCTATCTGTATTCTGATGTCATATTTCACTGTTACAATTTTGAATGGACCAAATGTCTTTGTTTTCACTTCTGGCAATATCATGTAGTTACATGAAGAGTAATTTATTTATTTATGTTGGTTGAATCAGTTGCTACCTCACTAAACTAGATGTGTCTCATCTAATTTTTCTGCATACTTTTGTTCTTTCAAAACTTGGTTCTCTTATGATTCCATATCATCCTCCATGTCTCTATATTTCCCAAACAGTGGCGTTATAGCAATTGAACTCGTATTTTCTATTGGTTATTTGTTTTCCCGGCACCCTTTCTCATCACCAGTAAGGATTTGTGGGAGTTGCAGAATCTTCCACAGCTTCCTTGAGAATGAGATGATTTTACGAATTCCCACAGCATGTTAGAGGAACATATTCTCTACTAGACTAGAGCAATCTGAAGGCAAGAATCAAACTGGTTTCATTTGAGGATCCCCAAGGCCTTGTATATAGACAATTAAATATTTACTAGAGAGCGAATAAGCACCCCCCAACCCCCCCAAAAAAGAAAAGAAGAAAGAAAATAGATTTTAAAATTTTCATTTGAAGTTAAAGGACTAAAAAGCATAAATGGTAGTGGCTGCCACTCATTTCATTTCCTATCTGCTTTTGACCAGTTTTACAGAGAATCAGGGGGATATACGTGCAGACATTGGCACTGATAGAACTTTGGTTTCACCTGTCTTCGCAGTATAATAGTCAATATAAGTAAAATGACCCAACAAAGGGGCCATGGCATGCCCATTTCTGTTCATTTTACAAATTTAAAAACAATCTAAGTTTAAACAATTAAAAATAATCAGCAATCTTTCTTTTAAAGAAAACAGTTCCTTGGTTTGGTATGTTATAGACTATTCACCTATTCTCAGTCACACAGAACTGATCATGTGGAAACAAGTAAGCTTATGGCGCACGCAGGCAAACACCTCCACTGCACAAAGAGGACATTCATTTCTCTCACACATTCGTGAGGGTGACGGATGAGCACACTGTTCAATAGTCAACTTTTCCTAAATCAGAAGCACCTGTGGACATACGCTGGCGCCGAGCAGTTTGGGTAAGAGAATGAGACTTATGGAATAAAACCTCAGCAGGTTGGGAGTGAATGCCATGAAAACGGGAGGACAGACCAGAGGCAGCAAAATCAGAGCATCTGAATGAAAGACTCCCGCACATTAAGCCGGGTTCCATTTCCCTAGACACTGTTTTCCCAGGCAATGGTAAGAAATAATTAAGTAGGTAAAATATTTTTGCCTTTTCCCAATTCCAACAGAAATTGTCTATCACGTGGGATAGTACTTAGACACTAACACCCACCCACCATCTGCATGTGGTTCCAAAGACTCACAGGTTCCATTACTGATTGAAAGTACCTGGGTACCTTGGCTGATCGCAAGATGCCGGTTGTGCCTAGAGCAGTGGTTCTCAACCTTCCTAATGCTGCGACCCTTTACCCCAATTTCATTGTTACAAATTGAACATAATTAAAGCATAGTGATTAATCACAAATACAATTTGTAATTATATATGTGTTTTCCGATGGTCTTAGGCGACCTCTGTGAAAGGGTGGTTCGACCCCCAAAGGGGTCGTGACCCACAGGTTGAGAACCGCTGGCCTAGAGAAAAACACAGTCACCACTACACACAGGTGGACTTAAGAGTTTCCTCGGCTCAGACATCCATAGCAAGGTGATGTCCATCTGGGGATTTTTATTCCTGTTCATACTCTAGCCGGATCCCACAAGGAGACATGTCAGTGACGAACTGAGTTTGCCTACAAACGGAACCTCAAGTAGATTTCAGCAGAGTAATTTTCTTCTGCGGGCTTTTGAAACAACCGCGTTAGTCTGATTTCCCTACAGAAAGCCCCGTCAGAGGTTGCAGAAGTTGTTTGTGCTTCACCCTCTCTAAATGATTTGCAAATTTATTCAAACGCAATACGAGGAGATGCTTTATTTGTTGAAATAACTGTCGGCGGTGCCCTGCACAGAAGGGTGAGGTACATCAAGCAGAAACACGGACAGAAATACACTGGTTTAGAAACTCATAAATCCTGATTTGAATCTGCCAACCTGAAAGCCATGGACGGCCCGAATAAACTATTTTTCCTAAATGCTACATCTGATTAAGCCATACCATTAAATGACAGCTGAACTTTAACATTAATATGATATTATTTAAATAACCACATGATTTTTTTTTACACTAAAAATGATGAATGATTCCTAGACAGCTCCATTGACATGAAGAGGAGGACTCTTTAATGAGATTTGACGAAATGGAGACATATGCAGAATGCTCGTTACAGCTCACATGGCGGGGCCTCCCAGGGAAGCCAGGGAGGGTGTTCCCTTTTTTTTCTTTCTTATTGTCTATAGGCACTGAAGCATTCCTTTCACTAGCCACTTCTCTGTGGATTTTGAGTTTTTCTAGGTCATTTATGTATTACTCTTAATCAGAGAATTGGGTGGTTTGTGGTTTATGTGCAGGAAAAGGAGGGGCGTGTGGAGTTGGGTCAACTCTGGCTGAAAGTGCCCAGAGCTTGAGACTCCCTGCTGATCAGCCTGATAGAGAAATCACCTCGGCCTTGGAGACTCAGCAACTCCACCTTTGATTGGTTCTTACGCGATCAATCTCTAACCCAGCAAACATACTTTCAGCAAATTATTATCTATTGACGCACGATCAGAGAAGACTTATTTTCAAACAGTTGTCTCTACAGTATCAATGAGAAAAGTGATTCTCTTCTTTAAATTCCAATTAAGCTATTCTAGAGGCAATTCTCAACCTCCCCCCCTCCCTCACTCACATTTCTATCCACAGCTCCAAATGGAAGGTTATGCTTCATAATGCTCTTATTTGTTAGACTCTGAATGTAAAATAATTACATGCTGAATATACCAAAGGAAAAATGGCTCCAATTTTCAGACCAATGGAAACGAAATTACCTGCACTCATTCATTTCATTCCAAGCTCTCCCAAGTATGTCCCATCAAAGTTTAATTACACATATAAAACATTAACATTTGTTTGCTCACACATGTGAATTCAGATTATCCAGATTGCTTTAAATTATAAAAACCATCTTGAAGTATACATAAAATCGAGATATTGTCCCAAATAGCATCACTTAAAAAAGAAGTGAAAACAAAGGCATCGGCGCAGAGCTAATACCAGGGGTGCTCCTGATACTGCAGGCCTGCATTCCCTCTCTAAGAAAGAGACTACCGGAATAGAAAATAAAATCACGCAGCTCCTGCCATGGGGCCTTCCTCAGGCTATGAAAAAATACTTCATGTCTAACCCTAATTTTTTCCCATAGCTTGAGGTAACCCCTCTAGCTCAAACCTTCTCTCTAATCTAAGGTGCGCAGAATGTGTCCCTGTCCAAACAAGAGTTAATATCAGTGCTCTGGCATTTCAAAAGGGTCTCGACACAGGGTACTGAGAGCAGAAGCCTGCATGCTTGAAAAATGCCCGGTTGCAACAAGAGGAGAAACACAGTTAAAAAAAGGGAGAAAGAGAAAGTTGGGTCCCTACCTTGCTCTTACCTTCGCAACATCCCCGTCAGGACCCTGGAGCTTTTCCCCAAGTTAGCGTCCGTTTCCCGAAGCTAGGAGAAGAAGAGCAGCATTAAAATAAAACAAAACTAAAGGCTATGGATTATTTTTTAAAGTGCACTGGCAAACAATAATTTTCTTTCATGCTAGAAAATCTAATTCATAAAAAAATTCACCGAAATACATTTTTGACACATGGTCCATCTCTGGAAATTCTTAGATTTAGAAAACTACATGAGATTGATAATCCCAGGAGCTTTAAACTGGATACCTGAATTAGATATAAAAGCAAATGTCTCAAAGGCTGACAAAGTTTGATATATATTGGTAATTTATTAGTTTTTCATTTGTGAATGTGCAAAGTTCTGGTACTATAAATGGAAGCAGAGTGACTTGAGGAAGGATGAGACCAATGTTTTTAGATTTCACTCCAAAAGACCTGATATACTTCAAAATCTCCCTCAATGACCTTTTCAGCAATAGAGCTAAATAAAATGTCGCTGTGGGAGCATTTCAGGATGGGGATATGAAGAGGCAACTTATTTTTTCTAGATCCCACACTCTTCTGTTTCGTCTTCTATCCCTTCATCCCTCCATCCTCCTAGCCATCTATATATATAAAAAGCCTAAGCGACCATCCGGTAACTATGATGCCCACTGACCATCAGGGGGCAGACGCTCAATATAGGAGCGGAAACCACAGGCATGGAAACATGGAACAGACTGATGAACCTCAGAGGGAAGGGGGGAGGGTGGGAAGAGATTAACCAAAGATCTAGAGGCCCCATCACGGGTGGGGTCCCTCAGCCTGGTCTGCAGGGATCAGGCCGAAACCAGCTCTCCGACATCCCATGAGGGGTCCCGGATTGCAAGAGGGCACAGGCCAGGCCGAGGGACCCCACTGGTGCACGAATCCGTGCACCGGGCCTCTAGTTTTCATATATACTTACATCTATGTGATTGTGACTGTCACAAAGACCCTAAGTTTCATGTCTTATCATTTATTGAATTTGTGAAAAGATGATATCACTTCTACTTACTCTTTCACGTGCTCTCTGTATCTTTTCTCTGTCGTGACTGAGGTTTTCCAACATCTCTTGGCCAATTTGCTCTATGAAAGAGAAAATTTGAGTAAGGAAAGATGACTTTGGATATGAGAATAACTTTCAGCAGAAGTACCAAAATGTTAAATAAGTTTATATGACACATCAGACACATATTTATTCATGTACTTGAAAAACATTTAAAAAGCATGAGATGAATTTACCTATTTATCGTAAGTATGATGAGATGTGATTTAAAATTCAACCTACAGAACATGACCACCATGGCAATGACGATTTAGAGGTGATAAGACTTGCTCAAGGCCACCTCAGCATATTACTTGCCAAGATGGACAGTCCAGGTCCAATGGCCTCTCTGTTATCATCGTGACATTTAGCCTTTGGTTTTCACAGGCTATAAATAATGTTAATGGTTCTACTTTACCCTTCCTCCTTCATTATTGCCCTGTTTTGCATATGTATATGAGACTCCATTTAAAACAATGTTGATTTTAACATATTCGTCCCACATAAATAGTCCTCATACCCTCAATTAATGCAGCTTATTGGTAGTAGAACTCTCTCTAGGCTTCTGCTCTCTTAAAGTTTAGTGTGTTTTCAGCTACCATGGATAGTTGAGATAGGGTGAGGTGCACTCATTAATAAGTAGCTGGAGAGAGCTCAAGCTGGAGATGGAAGTCCAGACATTTATATGGTATAGGCAGGTAGGAATCTTCATTAAAAAGCCACACTGCTGAGTTCCAATGAGGTTTCCCCATGCTGTGATCATCCCATTTGTTGGCAGTGGTAGGCTCTTTTTTGACTGCAGCATCTTTTACGAGACCTGACACATATTCAGTTGCCTTGAATACATTTTTCTCAGACTCATTCTCTGTCACCTGGGAGGTACCTTATATCTATCACAGAAGAATGATAGTCTGCCTCTCTTCTAGTCTTGGCAACTTGTGTGACTACTTTATTCTAAATTTCTTTTCTTTTTCTCTTGTATTGTCTTTTTATCTATAACCTACAACAGTAATCTCTGGCTAATAAACTTACAGAGACGTTCAAAATGCATTTATTATAACAACAACTAATTTAATAAAGGCATTAAGAAATCGCCATGGTAATTATTTGATTTATGTGTGCATACTGCCATACTTTTTAGAGGGTCACCCTAAAACTGTTAGGCCATATTGAGAGCTTAGGCTGTGACCTCACTGCTTGAGCCTAAATCCCAGTGCTGATACTAGCTGTGTTGCCTCGCACAAGTCACCTAACTTTGTTGTGCCTCATTTTCTTCATCTCTAAAATGGGAATAAAAATAGTTCTATATCATGGGGTTGTTGCAAGGGTTAAGTAAGATAATCCAGTTAAAAAATTTAGCATAGTGACTGGTTTATAATAATAACTATTTGTTGAATGATAATAATTGAATAAAAAAACCCAATGGACTATTATGACCTTGACCTCCTCCTATCTTGGGTCTGCTACAACCCACTTGAACTGAAATTTTATTCATTGATTAAAACATCTGTCCCACCTTTCTCGTAGAATTATTGTTATAGCCAAATAAAATAACCTAAGTGAAAATGCTTTGAAAGCTAGGGTACCATATACATGCATGTAATTGTGCAGTCACAAAATCAATGCACTCAACGAATAATATAGGAGTCCAGAACTTTGTGCCAGATTAGATGTTGGGGACATGGCCAGTAAACACAAGCCCTTGCACTGCAGGAACTTTCAGGCCAGTGGTGAAGATTTAGCAGTTAAAGGGCAAGTGTTATATTAGAGTTTGCATTTCACGGCATATCAGAAAAAGGAATGTACTGTAAATTCCTTTCACATAGAAACTCCAAGTAGTAAGAAGGGTTAAGTACAATAACATAAGTATATTTTTGATACCTATAAAACTCTGAAAATTCTTTCCAGTGGAGTACTTTCCCATTATAATATCTCCTCTCAGACTGACATTAGCTTTCTATTATTACCTCCATGCAATTTATCCTGAAAGTAAAATTGGATAAGATATGTGGTTCTCAGGGGAGGCATCACAAAAGTTGGAAGATGACACTGGTAGTTGAGAAGGAGGAAACAACTAGAGTTGAATTTTTTCTTTTTTTGCATGAACAGCTATAATATTGAATTTTGTACTATTAGGAACTACTGTTACATTGAATTCCTTTAATCAACATAATATAACAATTAAAAAATATTTTTATTGATTTCAGAGAGAAAGGGAGAGGGATAGAGAGATAGAAATATCAATGATGAGGGAGAATGATTGATCGGTTGCCTCCTGCACACCCCTATTGGGGAAGGAGCCCGAAACCCGGGCATGTGCCCTGACCGGGAATTGAACTGTGACCTCAAACACTGAGCCACACTGGCTGGGCAATATAGTAATTTTAATTCGTTTTAAACTTAGAATCCCTGATATCGATGAACACCATCAATACTGGAATTATTTCAGCAAAATACTATTTATATAATTTTTTCTATCAAGATTGATGGTATTATAATATATAATTTCAAATGAATAGGAAGTAGGAGATTATTATTCCTACTTTATTATTATTATTACCATTGTGTTTCACCAGCATAATGTTCCCAATAAGTATTTGTGGAATAAACCAAGCAACGAGGAAAATGACATACAGTGAAAAATGGAGTATATAAAGGTTTGTGATCTATTCCTTCTCTCCAAGCATATCCAGTGTGGCACTGGAGAAGACCATATTGTTAGGCAGCTAATAGATCCACAGTTCTATCAGGTTCGCAGGGGGAAAAACTCCAGTCTGAGTGGATCTATAGTCTGACACCTAAGAAATCAGTGGAACAAGAGGCAAAGAGCCCAGGCCTTTTCAGGAGGCATAAATCCCTCCCTCGATCTCTTTGCCTCCTGGGAAACATCTCAGCATCCTAAGTATTAACCCTGTCTGGGAAGAGAAGAGATATTGGCAAGGATGTACAAGTCCTGGTCTTAACACACAAATAGACATTTCTTGGACACAATTATTTTTTTATTTCTTACTTACTACCTTCAATTGTAATATCCCAACAAAGAAAATTTCAGGCCAAACATATTAGAAATGCTTACTCTTGTAGAATAATAAAAAAAAAAGTTTCAAAGAAAGTTACATAAGATTTTTTTCCCCCATTAGGTGTTTCCCTATCCCAATCAAACCAAAATAAAACAAACAACGTAGAGGGGATCTTTTAAAAATAGATTGTCCTTAAAAAAAAAATAGACTGTCCTTGGTCAGAATAGTATTAGACATTTAGGGATTATTTTATTTAAAAATTACTAACATTGTTAGGTTTACTTTTCTTGAATAATTTAACTTAAGATGCAAGCATTCACCAAGACACCAATGAAGAACACAAGCTCACAGGCCTACACCAATGCAGATGCAATACCCGCGTCTAGAGTTTTCAATCTCAAACTTTCAAAGTACCTTTAGAATGGGAATAGCCATATTCCCTTTATTGAAATAATTTGAGAAATTATAAATTGTAGAAATACTCTACTGTTGACTGTGTGAGGATCGTCCTGAGAGTCAGAAACCACAGGAAGCATAAGAGAAAATCAAAACCGATGCTGCAAGCTGGAATTCTCCATGTCAGCGTGAGCATGATGAATGGATTCATGGGGAGAAAAGTTCCTTCCTGCACTTCTCTGTCCTTCCCACAGGGGTGCTCAGAACCATCCTGGGAGCACAGCATTCCAGTTTATAAAGCGAGCCTTTGTTTTCACAATGGCCTAGAATGAATCATATCCTTGATCCCTGGTCCTTTTTATTGGGTCACAAACTGCAAAATGGGTTTTGGCTAACATTTCCTCTCTTTTCCAATATATTGGGGGGAGGAGAGAGTATGCAACAGGCATTCAGCACTTTTCTGCTCCATAAAAGAATGAAACAGTTAGCAGGGAACCACAAATCTAGCAAGATAATGTCCTGAAGGGCTGGCCTAAGATTGGATTTACTCGAGGAGCTTGTACCACTGAAAGCATCATTGCTCTCCATTCATAAAATAATCACGCTACCTGAACCACCATGAGACTGACCTGAATGAACATAAAAAATATTACTGAACTTGTATTTTGGAGATGAGCAGTTTAAAATATTCTCTATGAGAAGGTAAAATTGACTGATGCTCATGTTTCTTCCAGGTAGACTGTGATAAGGAATGAAAATTGTAATACCTGAGATTCTCTGCCCAATAGGGTACCTACTGGCCACGTGGGGCTATTTAAATGAATTAAAATGAAATAAAACTTAAAATTCAGTTCCTCCATAGCACTAAACACGTTTCAAGTACTCAATAAGTACATGTGGTAATGCTCACTGTATTGGAAAAACACAGAAATACCGTCTTTAGAAAGATCTCCAAATCCCCCTGTCTTTAAGACCCACTTAGAAGAAATAAAGAAGTAGTCATTTGGAGATTAATTTAGGTAAAACACTTCCTTTCTCTGGGTCTCAGTTTAGAGAATCTTTAGTGCCCCTTCTGTCTCTGGAATGTTAGGATTCAACAGCTCTCTATAGTAAAATCTTACTGTCTCCTTTTCTCTATAGAGCATTAAGCAAACTACAGCACAAAGAGCCAAATGAGGCCCACAAATGTCTTCCCATTCCCTGTCTTCCCTTCCCCTGTCCAATGTTAAAACAACAACCAACTCAAACTTCAATGCTTTTAAGCAGGTTACATACTCTCCAGCTTATCCAAATCTACAGTGTTGGACTGACTGCTTCATGCAGTAGCCTGCGTGGCCACTGCGATGTCTGCATTAACTATGGAGTATAAAATATTTACAAGCACTTTGATGAGGACACTATTCTAGGAAATTATACATTCATATAAACTGAAGGTAAACTTATGCATTCTTAGTAGAAATACTAGTATAGCAAAAAAAGTACCCAGGGTATAGGTTTTTTTTTTCTTTATTTTTTTTTTAAAAAGAAATTATGATATAACACTACCTCTTAGGTGAGTACATATTCTATTTTGCTTTAAGATGATCAAATCTATCACTAAGCAATTAAAAAAAGCAACAGCGCCA